TTTTGAAATGACTCCTGGGTTCAAACCTTTCACATTAAATTGCTAATGCTAATGCTGGTCGAAACATGTCACCCGGCCTTTTTACCTTCTATTTTACCAATTGCCTGAGAGTCCCTGTGAACGACATTAATCGTTTTGCTTACATAGAGTGACCACCATAGTCGGCTGGGAATGACATTAATCGTTTCTACTTACATAGAGTAATTATCCAAAATCGACCATTTCAACATGGCCGCCGCGTCTATATAACAACTACTAAACATTACACGTTCATGTTCTGTGAAACTACAATGAACCAGCTCGTTTATATATACTGGTACGATTGAACGCCATTTTAACAAACAGGATGGATATACAAGACAATACGGACCATCTAATTATCTGAATGCGTAGCCAAGAACCAACCTGGATTCCTCATAACCTATAATGTTGAACTGTCGCTATTCAAACAATGCCTACAAGCCTGGAAAATTAAGGATACCTATGTTGGATTTTTTGGTACGAAAGTTGCCATGAACATTACGAAGATTACCATTTACTGATAATCGAATACAACGCGTTGGCCATTCGATTTGAATTGAGCAAGAATTTATTTATAAGTGGTAATTCCCGACCAAACACTCTTGTCTGGGACGAATTTCAAATCACAAGAGGTTATCAATTAAAGGTAAAAGCATTAAAAACAGATTAATGACACTTAAGTTACAGTAGCGTTGTCATTATTAGTATACAATTATACTATTGGAAACATTTTTATATTAATATGTGATTAACTATTTGGCAATTAATAGCCATTTCAAAAGGGACCCTTTGCTATGTCATTTCAATTTGTCTTGACAAATTAGGTATTTCATCGAGTAATTGCCATTTCTGCCAAAACGCGTTTTAAGAACGAGGCCAACATGCACTCTATATTTTTTTATATGTGGTTGATGAAAAGATACAGAATTAGTGCACGCCATTTTCGCCAAAATCGCCACTTTCCAAAGGGCCCCTTTGCCATCTCATTTGAATTTTTGTTTACAGTTTGACGATTTTGGCGATTAAGCGCCAATTCTGCCATTTTCGCCAAATACGCCATTTTCGCCAAAATCGCCACTTTCCAAAGGGCCCCTTTACCATCTCATTTGAATTTTTGTTTACAGTTTGGCGATTTCGGCAATTAATCACCATTTCCGCCATTTTTGCCAAATACGCCATTTTCCCCAACATCGCCACTTTCCAAAGGGCCCCTTTGCCATCTCATTTGTATTTTTCTTTACCATTTGGCGATTTTGGCGATTAAGCGCCAATTCTGCCATTTTCGCCAATGCGTGCATTTCTGGACATATCTCAGCCATCAGGCCTTTTGCTTACGTCAGGCTCTTCAATAAAAATCATGTTCCTATCTTAGTGTATGTCATTTATTATCATGATAACTAGAGGTGATGATATTTAAGCTAGGGCTGAAATTCTGTACTTTATACATCATCCATTGGAAATATTTTGTGAAATTCCATGGGATGGTCTTCATTGGAAACAAGTCGCACCTTTAGCCAAACAAAAACAATGGGTTGAGTTGAAATTTCTTCACCGCGCTTATATGCAGAGATATGGGTAGAAGAAGACGTGTGTCCCGAAGGAGAAAACGGCAACGGGAAGGGGCTAGATTTCGATGAACACCACGCTTGATTGACAAAATTGCTGAAGGGGTTGCGATAGGTTTATCAGGTCCTGCACCTAGTTTTGTGACAGCCGGTGCGTTTTTAGCGAAACAAGCTTTTAAGGGTATAAAAGACGATGTGCAGCATTATAGACGTGGAAGAAAATGATTCTACAACCGTGTAGCGTGATTGTGGCTGGTCCCTCGGGCAGTGGAAAAAGTGAACTGGTAGAACAACTCTTTAAAGATAAAAAACTGTTTTACCCTCCTCCGAAAAAGATAGTGTATTGCTCTGATCGATGGCAACCAAGATTTGGTCGCATGAAAAAGCAATCCAAAGTCAAATTTTACAAAGGTTTACCTCCGGAAGGAGCCTTAGCCAAATGGTTTAAACCGCAAGATCATGGTATATTAGTCTTGGATGATCTCATAATAATAACAATATATACATTTATATAGCGCCTTTCTCGTTGTGATCCAAAGCGCTTTACAATTAGTAGTAATAGTAATAAACCTAATAAAATATTACAAAGACTTATTTATTAAAAATAAAGAGTAAAAATAGAAATAGAAATAATAATAAATAAATAA